GCAGGCAGAGAGACTGCATTGTACTGAAGCTATGGGATGGGCCAACCCCTATGGAGCCTTGAGCCCATGCCCGGCTCACCCAAGCAGCAATCTAAGTGTCAACGTTCAATCATAGGCCTGACATACAGACTTCAGCCGTGACACTCTTTTTCGCTCAAGTCCTGCTCTATCGTCATCGGGCAATGTTCAAGGCCTTAAGGGCTTCCTCCAAAGATTTGATCTCGGCATCGCGCTTCGCCTTTCGCTCTTCGTAAGAAGCGCTCTCATCGGCACACTGTGGCTTCAGCTCTTCGTATGTCTTCATGACAGCCGAGAGCTCTTTCTTCACGTTCGCCAGGTCGGCTTGAAGGGAGCTAAGGGCCTGAGTCTCGGAATCTTTCCGCGATGACTTGTGCGAGATATCCTTCTCCTTTGATGCCATGTCAAGCTTTGATTCGTCCATGAAGGACTCATACTCCTTTGCAGCAGACTGCTCGGCAGCAGTCGTTTCAGCCTCCAGGCGGGCGAAGTCAGACTGGATCACTTCAATCATCCCCAGCACCCCGCCGCTCTCTGAACCCATCCCAGTGTAGGGCTTCTCGAAGGGCTGCGGACCTGCCCTGGCCTGCGCTTGAACAAGAGCCGTCGCCTGCCCGGCCTTGGCATAAAATTCGTTCAGCACGCTGAGGGCTTCGGCTACCGCAGCCTGGGCGGCTTTCGCGTCCTTAATGGCTACCGTGTTCTCCTCCTTCTCCTTCTGGCGAATGCTTGTCGCCTCGGTCATGGCAGCGTTCATGTCCTTCACCTGCTCATCGAGCGCCTGAAGGTCCGCAGCGAGCTGCTGGAGTGAGGACTTCAGCTTGGCTTCGTCGGCTTCCAAGGCTTCGATCTCGTCGTTCTTCGCTCCGCGGGCTTCCTCGTTTTCGCTGAGCTCCTCCTGGCACCAAGCTTTCTTGGTTGCCTCGGCAGCGGCATCCTTCTCCATTCGGGTGATCATGTTCTCGATCATCTCCTTCACCTTGTCGATGGGGTCAGCTTGAAGCCGCATGGCCAGGGCGGCCAGCTCCTGGCTGTGCAAAACAGCAGCCTTTTCCTGCAGAAAGTCGGCCACCTCAGCGCTGGATGGACGTGTTTCTCGCCTCTGCTTCAGACAGAACCGGCCCTCGGGACCCTAAGGACAAGGGCAAAGGCCTTCTGTGGCAACATGCCCTTGACTGGCACACTGGATGCTGAGATGTCTCTGCTCGAGGAGCGTTGCACGGCGTTCGATGCGCGGCTTGCCGCATTCAGCGAGGTGGCTGCGCCTGCTTCATCCTACGTCTTTAGTTCGAAGAGCATGGTCCGCCTTGTCAAAATCAGCTCCTGGCAACTTGGCCCTCAGCTTCTGTTTTCTCAGTCCGGCGCTTGGCGCACTGCCAAAAGCAGCAACCGGGCCCCAAGTGATTTTCGATCGTTCGTGACTTACCTCGACATCTTATCCGTGAGTCTCCATGTCGAGGAGACATGCATGAAGGGGTTCGTGAGGTTACAGCCGAGGATTTCGCGCACGATTGAGTCTCCGATTTTCAGCGACTGCACTTCAGAACGCCTTGCAGCCCTCGCACGCCACGCGTCTCGACAAGAGCCGGGCTTAGCCGCAAATAGCTCGAGCTCAATGAGACTTGGGACTTGAGTCCAAGCTCTTTCGCACCGTTCATGCTGACGGGACGGTGCGCGGTAAACATGAAGTAAGTGATTTGCATGACACTGGGCCAAGGATGTGCAAGCCTGTGCTCTGCGAAGATGTCAATAAATCGGACCCCGCAAAATGAAAGACATGCCTCGGTTGGACCCAAAAGCGCCTAGGGGCCTAGACTAGCTCTGGTTTCGATGTGTCCGAGATTGATATTTCCGCACAAGGTGTTGGCAAGGAGCATGCTTGAAATCTGCTATGTCGCAAAATGCTTGGGTGGTGTGTCGCGAAGGTCGTTTATGTCTGTGTTGCAAACTAACATTTACATGTTCATCTGCATGTAGCTGGCAGCTGCCTCTGACAACCAGGTTGGATGCTTTGCACCGGCAGCTTGCGCTCGTGTTTGTTGCGTTACTTTCTTGGTGCTCAGTGTCGAGAATGACTTGGTTCCCAGGCTCCTCAGTGAAACTGAGTCCAAGCTTTCTCGCACCGCACAAGCCAACTGATCGTGCAAATGATTTGCATTACACACTGAAGCGATGAAGGCCCACAAGTCCTAGTCCTGGCTGTCCACTGTGCAAAGCAGTCACAGCCCCCTAGCGTGTCGCAAAGACTAAGCCTGCCACCTTCCGGAAGCTCGGTGTGCGAAGAGAGCGGTTGACACTCACGACCGCCATGGCTGTGCCGCTTTGCAGCAAGCCTGGCAGATGCTTGCCAGCGCCCGTGACGGCATCGCCCGAGATGATGTCAATGGCTTTACCAAGAGCTTCCAGCTCCTCTCCGCGCAGCTTCTGTCGGCTCTTGAACTCTGCTGCACGAGCCTCCCAGCTCATCTCCAAATCCTTCTTGTACTTCGCGTCCTCCTTCCTGGTGGAAGTGGTGTCCGCCAGCTCAGACTCATCCTTGGCCTTCTGCTCTGAGATGCTCGCCTTTTCCTTCAGCTTGGTCTGTTTGCTCTTCGTGGCGTCGGTGTTTTCGGAGTCCAGGCCGGTGATCAGGTTCTGGAAAGCGGTCTTCTTCTTCTGCTCCTCCAACTTCAGCGAGTTCTTCTCCTGCCAAGACTCTGTTTCTGCTGTCACAGGCTAAAACTGTCCAGAGAAGGTCCCATCCTCCTTGAACTGGACCTCGAGCTTCTCGAGCATCTCAATGACACCATCGGATTGAAACTCGTATCCGGCCTCTGCCACTAAAGAATTACTCGGCTCGGAGGCAAGCACTGTTTGCGAGGCCAGGGCTGCTGGTTGGGCTTGTGCTTCTTGTGCTTCGGAAAGAAGAGACTCCGTCTTGCCTGCCTCGGGAGACGCGCGGCATGCTTCATGCTCACATTTTCGTCCAACCCATCCCCAGGCCGGTCACTTGCATGCCCTGCTGCGGTGTGGCCCGTCAAGAAAGCGTCCAAGTACTTGGAGGCCTCTGAGGGGCTCAGCTTCCTTGGATCATCCACGTCTTTACAAAGCATGCGCTTCCAAATTCAGAGAGGGGCAGAGGGAGACGCAGGGACGCCAGAAGCACTGCACCAATGTCGGCTCAATAGCCATGGCGAGTGGCCTTGTCTGGTAAAGATCTGACAGTTGCACCAGAGAAGTGGTCTGCGGACGGGTTTGAGGCTGCTCCTGCACACTGGCTGGGCAAGCATGTGGTAGCTTTTCGAAGGTCAACTAATCGCTCCTATGGAACCCAACATACTCCAGAAACGTGAGCATGTCAATTGTGGAGCTTACTAAAGATGTTAACAGATCGGCTCTTCTTGGCCTTTCTCTCTTTGAGGTTTGTCATCGTCCTTCAGCGCAGTGAGAGCCTTGCCCATAGCGGTTATGGAGTCCTCGGGCAAGATTGCATATCAATTGGTCTCGTCTGCTGAAAAATTGGCAACCAAGCTTCGACATAGTCCGTGAGGGTCGCTGAGTAATCTGCCGCCTGGCATTAAGGAGATCACATGCCTACTACACTGGTCATTGACACCTCTGACCTGGAACGGCGATGGTTAAGACGCTGGCTTTGCCAGCAGTGGTTGGCAGCTATCGAGGCATAACTTGCATTCATCCCGCCGGCTTGTATCCGACGTCGCATATTGAACAAGCTCCGGCTGCGCCGCTGCTGCTGCTGCTGCTGCTGCTCCTCGTCCTCCTCCTCCTCCTTCTCCTCCTCCTGCTCCTCCTCCTGCTGCTGCTGCCACTGCTACCAAGGCGGGCGCCTCCTTCTGACGAATGGAAGTGGCATTTGCCTTCTCCTGCAGCGCCCGAACTATGCATGCTCACTTACAGATCAAACTTCAATCTTCCCATGAGACTCCCGCCGCGCTGGTAGAGGCAATGATGTTGTCCAGTTCGGCAATCTCGGTGGTAAGCTGGTCCACATCCGAGGAGGCCTGCCAAATGCATGCAAAGACCCCGCTGGCACTCACACCTGAAAGCCGTTAACCAGCCTTGTCAATAGATGCGGTGAGGCTTTCGATCCGTGCATCAGCCTCTTCAATGGCAGTCTTCTTCGCGGAGGTGGTATCTTCCTCAGCTGCATCATGACTCAATTAAACTGGGGCCGCTGGCCACTCTGCGTTCTACAGCGAAAAAGCTCCTCGGCCACTAGGCTCCTGGGCTTCTGATGTCCTAAGGCCAGAGCACAGAACTTGACGTACTCGGCAAACCTCAGATGCATTTCCACCATAGGCAAAAGACACCAGAATTGGTAAAGCATGTACTCCACGAATTCCATGTTCGATGTGTGATTGAGGCGCTGGGTCTTTTCGTTTTCTGTCTCCGACTTGCCCTTTTCGACCATTTCTTCCTCGGAAGCAATGTCGGTGGCTTTGGTCCTTTCTCAAACACCACCCGACGTCTCAAGTGGCAACCTAAACCTGTCCCATAAACCTGCTTCCACCGAAAACAAGTCAGAAAACAGGCGTGATCATCGCTACATCTGCCGTCAGTTGCGTCTGCCGACGGTGGGTGAGTCCATCCCACATGCGTTATGCCGCCTATCTGACTCGCTTGAAACCACGCAGCACCACCCGCAGAAGCTGACTCTTGCAGCTGCGTCGGGACTATGCCCATCGAGTGGCGGATGTCCCACTGCAGATCGGTGCTAAAGTAGCCCGTCTACGCACTCGCTCACGCTCTCTCGTTCTTCCTTCCGACCCACCCGCGCGCGCACCCCTGTCAACATTCTGTCTGCTCGGAAATCACTAGTCCCCCAAAGTGAACCAGACAGGCTCAGACCACAGCACCAACATGTTCCCCTCTCGTGAAAACCCAGCGCAGTTGATACGCGCAAGCACACAATGAGCTGCAAGGCCCAGACTGAGGCCCCTGCGAAAAGCAACAAATCACTTCGGGCGAACCCGCTGCAACTATTCCCATTGTTGTGGAATTTCCCCATAGGCAGCTGCCTCTATTCCCGCACGGCTCGGTCTAGCAAGCAGCACATGCATACACATACTCAGCACACATCAACCTTACGCGCCAACACAACACAGCAGGCGCACAGTGAGGTCGGCGCCAACAATAGTCCCAGCACTGTTGTCAGTCTCATGAGGGAGGTTCTGCAACAACAAAGAAAGGTGCAGCTACACCTCATCCTACAAATTTGCATCGGTCCTTTCTTGCTGTTGCAACAACAGTTGGTCAGGGTCGGCCGGCTTCGGAGCTTCCATGGATTAGGGCAGCACAAAGGGAAGGCGACAGGCCTCATATACGCTGTGCAAACGCACCTGCGCACAGGTCACACGTACTGAGCGGAGCTGAACGGGTACTTGAGCGAGGCAAGGTAAACATCAGGCTGGTATGCGCACCAGCCATTCCAGGGCCAACAAGGCGCCGTGACAAAAAAAAGCGAATATCACGCTTGCAAGTCGACTCGATTGCTGATTTGATCTGTGCACAAACACAATACGCAATTATGCTGATGATGATGATGATGATGACGATGATGATGCTGATGACGATGATGATGCCGATGGCGATACCGCTGATGCTGATGCTGATGCTGATGCTGATGCTGATGCTGATGCTGATGCTGATGCTGATGCTGCTGATGATGATGATGATCATGATGAAGATGATGATGATCATGATGATAATGGTGATCATGATGATGATGATGGCACAGTAACGAGGATGAGATGCATATTTTGGCGCCAAGTGTGCCAAACGCCAGGGGATGGCATTCAAAACTGAATGGAACGATTCGCCAATGGGGTATGGTTTGGGCGGAACTCGCCTGCAGACACTCCGCCCCACCGCATACACCAAATCAAACGAGTGACCCCATGTGCTCATTAACGAGGACAGTTCAAACACACGCACACATCCCGGTGCGCATGCAGGACAAAACAGAGTGGCCAAGTCTCCATGAGAGTAACCACCTTTTGAACCGGCGTGACCTGCGACCTCAGTGTTGAATTTTCGTCCAGGCTCTCTCTAGCCATCAACGACTCGTCGGCTCAGGCTGCGGCCCGTGCGCGACCATGGCCAACGGAGCCAATGCCAAGTAAATCGCCATGGCGCCTGAGCAAGTCCAGGTTCGAAAGGGTTCGATGCAGGCTTCGACTGGATGTCAGGATGTGGCTCTTCATTGTAGCAGGCTTGCTGCAGAAGGGACTTCGAGCACAACTGAATTGAGCCCAAATTCCTTGCTGCAGCAGATCATGCGGTTGTCTTAGCAATCCCTTCCTCAATGGTCCCATAATGACCCACTTTTCATTTGTTGTTCCACTTCTCTCTGCTCCGTGCAATCTGGATGCAGTGGTCGATAGGAGTTCTCATCTTGGGTACGCCACCTGAAATGGAAAACCTTAGTGTCGCAGCGGCTCGGCTGACGGACGTGGTGGGAAGTCGCAGCACAAATGCGCACACACACACACATATGGTTATATGGGGATGTAAGAAGGGAGCCTAGGCAAAGCCCAGGGAAATGAAAGCATGGAGAGCCAGTTTGTGCTAATAATAAAACCAGCATCAACAGAGTTTACGCATGGTTACAATAAATTAACAACAGAACCAGTCTCTGTCTCTTCTGTAGCCGAAAGATCGAAATACGAGGTCATCAAACCGAAGCTGTGTCAAAATCAGTACATATGTACAAAGAGATCGTGAATCATGTATCGTAGGGTAGCCATACTCATCCATCCGGACTTCACTATCGATTTCTCGAGTGCAATGGGCCATGCCAACAACAGCTTATACATCGGGAACTACCGTGTTGGCCTACAAAACACATGGTAGGCCCAGGCCATCGTCGGCACAATGCTTTATCAAGACGACCACAGTGACGATCGAGGAACGATGATCCAACTTCCTAGAGAAAAGCTCTTGTCCAGGGCAGTGCCGGTGACAACAGCAGAGAGGTTCCAATTTAGCGGGAAGTTAGCGACCTAGTCTTGACAAACTTGTTGGCTAGGTTTGACGGGTGCAGGTGCTCGACTTGGACCACAGTCTTGCCACCTTTGAACCCTGACTAGGATCTGAATGTCATCACTGCCCCTATGGCTAATTCCTGCTGCAGTCGCTGCTACACAAGCACCACCACCACGACGGCTACTTGGTACCAGCACAACCTCAGCCTCGGCCACGTCCACCCCTGACGACTGAAAGCAGCACTACCGCTACACGACTGTGGTGCTCGAGAAGAGGTATTGACGATCCTCGACTTGGCAGTGCCAGTAGCAATAAACAGAATCAGAGTGCTAGTCATATCCGTGTCAATGACAAGCGCATGCTGACTGTTTTCAATGCAGTGTTGCTGAGTTCCAGACTGTGACGGGGCACGAACCTGGAAGGCTCAAAGCATTCCAGGAGGCTCCAGCACGTAGGGAGGGGCCAGCTTTTCTCGATTGGCGTGTATCTGTGCACCTTTGCCGTACGGCCATGGGGTGCATGACGACCTCTACAAACCAGGAGACCAGGAGCAAAGAACACAGACACGAGCAAGGCCAAAGGAACTGCAGAAGCCAACCCGCTTCTGCGATTTTGTCTTTGCGGCAGGTTTGTTCATCAGTCATCCGGGTAATTGGGGAGGCAGGACGAAGATGTGGATGGAGTGTCAGACTGAGGCTGATGGGACGGCGGCCACGGTTGTCGACATCTTCAATCTCCAACAGCACAACTCAGCAAAACTGCGCAGGAACAGTAGCACATACTCTCTACGACTGTCTATGCTTCACGTATGTGACGAGGCAGGAACATGCTCGGACCGGACGTATGCAGACAAATCCCCGAAGGCCTCTCGGATAGTCAGCCGGCAACTCCAGGATCTCCAGGTGCCCGTGCTGGCACGAAGACATCAAGGCAGAAGCAACAGAACTCTGAGCAAATCCGCCAACCAGTTGAGCCTTGTGGAACAGCTGTGTGCTGACGAAGGGGGGGGAGGCACATATCGATTCGGGCAATAGGTGCACTGAATGTACGGAGAGGAATTGACTTCAAGGATATGTCAGATGGCTTCGTAGAGCTTCCGGAGTCAGCTGCTGAGCACAGGCTTGAAGTCTCCCAGCACTTTGTAAACAGTTGGGGACAACCAAGCTGCGTAACCATGAGATCAAATCAGCACGGGGAGCCCGGACAAGCAACTCCCTGGCAGTTGCTGCCACATCGCCAGCTCGATCGACCACGGCAATGACCACCTGCCAAGCCAAGACCAAGAGCACGTGGCATGTCATAGGTCCGGGGTCGAAGTAGCGAACTGCACATCACTGCTCGTCCCTTTCTGCCCATGGCATCAGAAGCAATGCCAGCTCTGGGCACTTTGGCCTCACGGAACACGTGCAGCACAAAGCACTGTGGTCCCTGCTCGGACCGTCAGACCTTCTCGAGCATCTCGAGGGCCTCCTGGAGGTCCGCCACCTGGGCACGAAAGGCGGAAGGACAGCGACAGCGCGGCTCTCAGACCTGCAGGCGAGGGAGCGGGCGACGTGTGGCGACGTGGGGGCGAGGGGGGGCCG